TTTTTTTTTCCCTTCCTTCGGGTCTGCTTCCTTCCTTCCTTGCTTCCGGTCTGCTTATTTCCTTCCTTCCTTCCTTCCTTCCTTCCTTCCTTCCTTCCTACTTGTCTCCTTCCTTCAACACAGGACTCGTGAAAACCAGACAAAGTGACAAAACCAGACATTTTGTTATAGAATGAATACTTACAAGTCAAGATACAATTTTGCAAAAAAAAGAACAACTTTTTATAACCGTTTGTTAAAAAAATGAAGAAAACCGGGCAAAAAGCCAAGCGATCCTTAAAATGTGCAGAAAAACGCTTTCCAACGAAGATTTAGTTATAGGACTATAATTCATTCTCAACTTCTCAAGAGATTGGCAAAAAACAGAGCTAAGACTATACATTTCTTAAGGAATGCATGGCGAACTCGAAAGCTGTAAAAAAAAAACGGTTTTAATGAATAGTCATTTATAGGACGATACGTCGTTTTCAACAGTTAGGCAAAAAAACAACCCTAGCCGAAACTAGTTTTATAGAAATATATATTCAAATTTAAAGTTAGTAACAAAACCCTTGTCAAAAACTATATGTTATGTTAAAAAAAAAAAATACAAGCAATTTTTGCCTTAGAGGCATCTTAAAATTCTTAGCCGAACACGAGTTAAAAAAAAAAAAAAAAAACGAAAAAAACATAAAATTAAAATTAGAAAAATGATGATAAAAAATCACTAAAAAAAAAGTTCCCTAAAATATGGGAGATCGTATTTGGACAAATGTATTCGCAAACAGCCTTGAAATAGGAGAACATGTTTGCATGTTCGTGAAACCCCCGAACACTTCTGTTGCGTTGCACAACTTATAGGACTATAAATATGATATGATCTCTTGAAATAACAGAAAAAAACGTTTTTCCGTTTCCTGAACATACGGTGTTCACCATGGGGGTTTGATTGCTAATCTATTATGGGAAAATGCGTGAAAGACGGTGTTTCGCCTCTGTTTATCACTATTCTTTTCCTTCTTCTTCTTCTTTTTTGTGAAGCTATAGCGTGGCTCACCATCTCTGTGTCCTGCTGAACGTCACAGCTGTGCTACTTTTGCAAACATCAGGCGGGCTTAGTCCTTTTTTTTAAGATTAAAAGAAGAAAAGAAAAACGTTTTCCAGAGTGCTGCTCATCATCTACGTGTCCTGCTGATCA